TGCTTGCAGATTGTTTGCATTTTGTAGTTTCTTGCACATTCGAATTTCCTATAAATGCATAATGATCCGCAGTCTAGTTATTACATTTATTTCTATGTCTAACCGCTATCAATCGGTAAGGTGTTGATAATAAATACATTCTGTTCCCCGAAGTCAACGAAATAAAGATTTATACAAGAGGCGATTTCACCGAAAATTAATCCTCTTTTCTCTTTCGACGACATTTTTCACAAAGTTTGGAAAACAGTACACTGGACAATGATAAAGGTATGAACACATCAGACCAAATTGTATCTCATTTTAACAGACTTACGTTGAAGTTGTAGTTCGTAACCCGTTGCGTAACCACCGGCACGTTTGAATTGCAAATGGATCGTCGTAAAAGACGCGTGTAGCTGCAACGAGACGTTCAAACCTTCAAACATCCAGCGGAACGTATCGTGGCTCGATATTAGCATACATATGTTATGGGGAAACTGCCAACAGGACGAGGGATATCGCGCGAAGTAACGGAAGGAAACCTCGTTCGACGAGGATCTCTTCTTTCCCATCAGGGGAACCATCTCTCGTAAGAGATTCGAATGGTTGGTTGTTCTCCATCCTCTCATCCCTTCAACCACCATCATCGAAATGGAATTTCGATACGGTTCTGCCTCTCGAATTGTTCCAGTAGATGGCTTGCATACCTCCAGTCGAGTCGTTTCCTGGTTTCGTTATTTTTCCTTATGGTTATGGTTAATGCACATCAATAGTGATTCGATTTTACCAGTACAAGTCTATATTTTACTTATTTCACCAATTTAAAGGCAAATCATCGGACAACTAACCATGAGACTATTACTATTGTTTAAATACTACCTAGCGGTACCATAAACAATAAAGTACTGTAGTCAGAAGCATAACGCTGGTTATATAAATTTTAAATAGTATTTTGTGATACGACGCTTCTAATACAATTATTGTAGAAATTAATTTAAACTGGAAGAAGCAATCCTAATATTCATGTTGGTCGTAGAAATATATTTCGCCAAATACTTTACCAGTAAACGACTGAACAATTATTCACTCGAATCACTAACCACAGGATACGTTTGTTTGAATTCAAGATTGGATCGACTACTTGAGTCATAATGATATGCAATTTATAAGCAGTATGTCCTGAGCAAGTTTTGCTAATATATTTTCTAGTCTAAATAAAGTGTTGATAAGGACAAAAATGTATGCATACGTAAGAATTAATTTTATATGCTGTTGAGATTATTATCGACCGGTAGATCGCGCGGCCAATTGGTATTGGTATGTTTAATATGGCATATTTAACATGGCATATTTAACGTGGCATATTTAACATGGGTATATTTAACATGGCTTTGAGTTTTGACATGTGACATTGAGTAACGTGAATTCTAAGCAGTTACTTTGTAAACCTTCATTAAAAACATTGTATTGGGATAAAATATAGCTTAAACTACGAACAGTCTGTTTGCGTGTGTAAATTCAACTGTAAAATCATAATAATCGTGTATTTATTACATAAAAAGTCAGCTGCAATAGTTAACAAATTTGACGTTCTAAAAGTATCGGTGTATAAAGAATTATCATTAAAATCTCGTGCGTCCGAACTGGATTTCGTCAAACTACACATTTTTCGCGAAAACCATAGCGAAACTACGTTAAAAGAATAATATCTGTTTCGTGAAGCTTCTTAGACGCCGGCGAAGCGTGTGAACGCCGATATAAGTCCGCTTGGGCGAATTGTGAAGAAAGTTGAAGCGATAAAATCGAACGATGATACCGTAGCAAGAGGCTCATGGGAAAAGGTAATATATTTCCGAAGTATCAAGTCCCAGTCACGTTCTATTTCATTATTTCGCGAGCATAACGGATACGTCGGGGTCGTAAATTCAACGAAAAGCTCAAACACGAGAGAAACGAACGAATTTCGCTGCTGAAACGCGACATGACGTTTTATTGTAATGCTTCTGAGGTTATCATCCCTGGATCCTACGGAAAGAATACACAATGGCACTCTTTGAAGCTAGATGATCCAGGTATGTCGGTATCTTTGTACATACTTGAAACGTGGGATGGCGAATGAAGTAACTAAATTCTAGAACGTACTTTTCATCGACGTGAATATTCAGTACTAATCGAACGAGGAGGATTAATCTTTGACGAATTTGTATGAATTGAAAGAAGCGACGCTGTACATTGCGTGTACTTTTATGTAATAAGCGTAAGTGATTGAACAAAGAAAATATATACACGTCGAATTGAGTAACCTCCTCCTTGTCGAAGTCGGTTAAAAAGGGGATGGATAAATAATTAGAGCTTTGACTGAGTATTTAGTATAGATATTAAACGCGAGATGGTAAATTACAATAGAATAGGAGGTCTGATGGTTTTATTTTGTTGTTTGGAAAGCATTTAGCAGTCGTCGATTCCAATGGGGTCAATTTTTTAGAGAATCGATTCAGAATCGAATGTTCTAGGTGAAAGTGAGTCGACTCCACGAACCTTTGGGGATGTCGTATCGTCAGTTTACGCGTGACTCTATCGACAAAAAGAGATATTAAAAATTCGTCTTTATCGCGACACTAATCCCGAAGATAGCTCGCGTAGAGCTTTATGCAGAGACGAGGGACAGCTGGACCGAAGGCCGATAAAATTTGCGGCTGATCCGATAATCGATAACTTGGCGACGGCAATCCGATTTCAGTCAGCGTCCGGCTGTTCGCGGTGAACGCTGATTCGACCACTACGAACAGGCAAGCTTGTCTTTTAGCGTCGTGCCTTCCGCTATCGCGTCGACGCTTCTTGTAACTAACGAAGTCCAATATTTAAGCTGCCTTCCTACGCGCATTATATTTACTGCGTCCAACTCAAAGGACGGTATGCAAAAAGCACGCGCGTGTAAACAGAACCACGTGATTGCAATATAGCTGACACAGCAGGGAGCTGCGCTATGTTTCATTATGGTCAGAAACATATTTGAGTACGAGCTAGACGTGACAAATAATATTCTTTTTGCGAAATTTGTAGGTCAGCTGTAGTCTTCAACGTATTAATTAAATTGGAATCTTCTGCGAAAGAAGGAATGTTAAAGTTATATTAAAAATTAGATTGTTCTACCCATGAAAGTTAAAAAGTTAAAGTCGAATGTTATTGTAGCAATTATCTCGTACAATGTCCAATCCATATTATTCTTAATTTGCAACATGTATTAAATAATTTTGAATTATATTAAAATTGAGACTATTGTGCTCATGAAAGAGGGAAAGTTAAAGTCGAATGTTATTGTTTGTAGCAATTATCTCATACAATGTCCAATCCATATTATTCTTAATTTGCAACATGTATTAAACAATTTTGAATTATATTAAAATTGAGACTATAGTACTCATGAAAGAGGGAAAGTTAAAGTCGAATATTATTGTTTGTAGCAGTTATCTCATACAATGTCCAATCCATATTATTCTTAATTTGCAACATGTATTAAATAATTTTGAATTATATTAAAATTGAGACTATTATGCTCATGAAAGAGGGAAAGTTAAAGTCGAATATTATTGTTTGTAGCAGTTATCTCATACAATGTCCAATCCCCATTATTCTTAATTTGCAACATGTATTAAATAATTTTGAACTATATTAAAATTTAGACTATTGTGCTCATGAAAGTGCGAAAGTTAGAGTCGAATATTATTGTTTGTAGCAATTATCTCATACAATGTCCAATCCCCATTATTCTTAATTTGCAATATGTATTAAATAAATTTGCAAAATATATTAAACAATTTCACCTTAAATCATGTTACATTTTGTGAAATATTATTATAAATTGTGTTCCTAAATCCTGAAGCTTTGTAACGTATTCTACACCGTTTCGTTTTTACAAGTTCTGAACGGACGTTTGAACATTGTTTATTTGCATCTTTGCGACGCAGGGAGCACAAATATTCAAACGAAATATTCTAAACTCTTTATGGTTCAAACGGCCATGTCCGTTGGCTTTATGAATTTACCGTTACGCCGCGGCGAACACAATAGAAAGGCGAGAGAAAAATCCAATTGTGCAGAACCCGGCGCCGTTCTTATCAACGTGCTCGCTTTACATTTTACCGATTTCCCCGGTGCTCCCTAGCGTATACCGAGCTTTTTCGCGAATAAAATCGCGTTAGTTTGTCGCCTATTATAATCCATTAACGTCGTTTCCCCGGTGGCAATATTTAAATTGCAAAAAGGAAGTCATTCGACGATCGAACAAGGTGATGGAAACAGGGCTACGCCTGACAACGTATTTTTTGCTCTTCAAAACAACGGAATTATTGGAATTTTACACGCGTGGATTTTGTATTAAATCATTTTAGAGATTGTATTATATTCATCTTGCGAGAGATACGATTATATTATAATATAATATCGATATACATTAATATACATTTTTACTATCATAATGCTATATAATCATTCATTTGAGAGAATCTATAAATCTATAAATTGCAGGAGCCTTTTTTGCGAGTGGCGACGTGTATGCGCGGATGTTGTGTAATCGTGTTGGTCGTTACTTATGAAATTAAAAGGTTCCTACAAAATAGTCTCACTCGTAAGAAAATTTTATAAAAAAAATATTCTTTCCAAATTTTAACCATTTCGTACGCTTCCCGAGGGAATACACTGACTGTTAACATTAGCCATTGATCAAGATTGATTGAACATATTCTTCGTTCTTGATTTTATTCTCAAATAAACTGCATTCCATGATACTACGTAACAATACAACTAACTCAAACTCAATATTAAACTACAATTTAGTGTAATCTGAAACACAAAACTTCCCTCAACAACCATTTACAAGCATTACAACCATTTCCACTGAACAAAATACATGGACAAAATACATGGACAAAATACATGAACAAAATCCCTCTTCTCGCGATCAGCATGCATCTAGAGAAATGATAATAATTAACCAACACAAAAAAAAACGTCTGTTTCAGCTGGTGGACGATGACGGAAGCATCGAGACAGCCCTGATCAATTACCTGTTCACGAAGCAGATCGTGAAACGGCTCCGGAGTCAGCTGGACATCGGCGACCTTCAACGTAAACGCAGCTACTGGAAGCAATGCGCTTTCAACGCCGTCTCTTGCTTTGGCAAATAGATCCAACCGTCCTCAGTCTGAGCAAACCGCGAGCCAAGCTTTCTTCTACGTCTGTCCATTTTTCTTCCATGTCCGACGCTAGTTATTAAAATCGAGTATAGCTCGAGGAGATTTCAACCAGCTGTGGTCACCTTCACGTCCGCGATTTTCTAAGCTCCTTCAATATTATCGGGTCGACGATTAGTTTTTGTATCTTGTTTGAGGATTGTTTCGTTTTTTTAATGTAATCAAGATCTTGTATCGACGTTGGTTCTCAGCATGCTTCCATCGTCTTATTCATTTTACACAGTATCGAACGACAGATGTGCTCGACAGAATTTAATTAGGATATTCTTAGCGACAATTCGAGCATTGATTTATTTCAATTGGAACAGGTTCGAAACGAAATTCGTACAACGATTAGAGTCGATTGATGTTTTGCGTGTCCACCGTCCATCATACATATCTCACGAAATCACTATAAAAGTTACAAAATGGATTATTCGACATCTGGATCAACCTGTTCATTTCAGAGGAATGAATTAGTTTTAACATCATATTTCCCCCAAATGAATACTCTTAATTTCAAATATAAACGAATAAATTTATTCTGATCGTGTTGAGTGCATCAGTTATTTCCACGTCACGTGACAGGGATAACGGTGTTCGAATACATGCCAGAATTTCGCGGGGGTGATGTTGACGGAGCTAATTCCCACGACGCTCTCTCTCCGTATTCGATATTAAGAAAGAAAATCGTAGATTAGCGACATAAATACTGAAAAATAAAAAAATCTGGAAAGCTTTTCCCGTCGGTCGAACGACGTACCCCAACGGTGATAGCACGTGACCCAATCCCCATCTCGCGTTTTCTCGCTTTCCTTTCGTGTATAGAATTTACGGTGGTTCGTCATTGAGCGACGGAATGGAGTGTAACGTTACACCGTTATAAATCAGTGTTTACGTCCGCGAATACGCGGCCGGCTGTAATGGAGGGTGTTCAATAAAGAGTTTATTTCCGTTGTAATCGCTTATGGGGACGAAGCAATAAACAGGACGACCATTTTTTATTCCAATGATCCCTTCATTGCGAAAATACATATCCCGGTTGAGTGATTCTAATTAAACGTGACGCTACTCTAGGAGCAGGCAACGTAATCAGCTTTGCAGAAAGTATAGCCTAAATAACGGTTAATAATTATGCGTCGTTCATCTATAATTGCGATTACAGCAACTGATCACGAAGTTACAGATGTAATCGATATCCAACTCTCAGTGTAGTTCATGATTAGATAGCAAAGACAGGTGTAGTAATTATTGAAAAATTGGCAAATAAGAAGATATACTTGTCACCCTGGTATAATTCACAATCGTCTTTGTACAGGCAATATTCTAGAGTTACGCAGAGTCACACATCAGAAGAAAAACGATAAGAGGAAGGTAAAATTTTGGAGAAGATTAGACGTAATAAACGAAGAACAAGAGTAAAGATACTTCATACGAGTTTATTTGTTATTCTAATGAAAATCATCACTTCAAAATCATCGCAATCTTTCCACCAAGCGTACAGTATTTGTTAAGTTTCACGGGACAAGTTACGTGCCGTAAGTTTAGTAAAAATGTCCCAGCATGATTTCGATGCAGATCCAAACGGATAAGGGTGACCTGTGAACCCAAAAAGATAATAATGACTAGGAGAAAATGATGACTCTTAAAAGTATTTCAAGAGTAAAATTACGCAATAATCTTTACGCAAATGATCGAATTTAATGGTCACTCGAAAAGGGTAGCGCACGTTGTACAACGTCGAGAATAGACGAAAAATGATACATATTTTTGTAAGCAGCCTGTATTTGGTCGTTGCGTAACAAATTACCGGAAACGTACCCTCAGAGAAATGACGATTTCGCAATTAATCTACCATCGTAATTAGAATCGTTTCTAAGGCATCGCTGTTGAGATAGAAACTGATTGAATGCGAAGAGGATGTATAATTGGTTCTCATTCCTTACGTAACTCGAAATTTTCAAAGCAGGAAGTTTCTTCATAACTTTCACCTTACAAAACAGACTTTTTAGTTCGAAAGAAAATTTGGACGCTGCTTGAAAGAATTAAAAAAGAGAAATAGAAATTATCCAAGTAAAACCTGGTCTAGCAATAGAAGAATTTCGATAAAAGGTAAAAATCAACTATAACCCCCTCCTCTCCAGTGTACCCACGCAAAAGCTTCTTGTCGATGCACTCCTGCAATTTTCTTTCGAGTCACTACAAGTTCCACTTTATTCTCAAGACCTCAAACTATTATTTAAGCAAAATGAAAACTATACACGCCGAATAGAGTAACCTCTATCCTTTTCGAAGTAGGTTAAAAAAGAGTTTCGGTTTCTGGAAAGCTGCAGTGTTTGTCGAGCCCTCGTGGAACAAGTACCTCCGTTACAGGAACAAGAAGCCTTACCGTATCGCGCATAGTTGCTACGAGGGAAACAGAAGTGCATGAACGTACGAAAAAGGGAAAAGTCGTCATCGATGTCGACAGGAACAAGTGCAGTAATCAGCAGCCAGCTCCACGGCGTGTGCTATCGTCTCCTGCACTTGCGACGCCGCGGCGGACGCCTCCAGCCAACCGACGCTAACGTGTCGCGCAGTCTTCGACACGTCTCCGAACTGCTGCAAAACGAAAACACGGGGAGATTACCGTCTCGTTCCGCGGTCGGAAGAGCGGAAATCACGCGCGACACGCGGAACGGAAGATTATAACCGCGCGAGCGGGTGCCACGCTAATTGGCGCCTACGCTCAACGGACCTGACAACCGCCAGAAGCTGGAAGCCGCTTAAACGCCGAGGATGCCAGCGGTAATGGCGAAGGCATTACCAACTTTAATTCCGTTACCGCGGCCTCCGAGTTCGATCGATTTAAAATGCCTCCCTTAAAGAGGGAGGTGCCGGTGTAAACTTCTATAAATCTATATCCCCGAGAGTATTATGTACTCCAGCTAGCCACAGCTTTATTTACAAATATCGAGACTTCGGATTGAAATCTTATTTTTGTCAAAATAAAATGTAATCTATGCTAGTAAGGGATAGTGTAGCTCTCTATTGCTGGAACAATTTTTAGAATCGTGACGGTACTTCCGAAAATTACCCCCCTGTATAATACTAGCATAGATATAGATGAAATATTATATTAATGTCAATCTAGAAACGATTCTAACAGATTAAATGAATATTGTATGATCTACCTATCGGTAAATAGTTAAGAGTAACATTTCGAGCAAAAATCATACATTATTCTACTGTGAGAAAAGGTCCGCTGTAAATCACGGTATCTACCTGGATCGCTGTGGACAAGATCTCCGTGCCAGGGTGGATCACGTGCGTCGCTTTGGATCTATCGTGGTCCCTCAGGAGTTTAGCTCCGAGACTGGTCAATCTCGCGTACGGTTAAGGAAAATTCATGTTAGGAGAGTCGTGCAACTCGCGCTGGAGTGGTGGATCTCCGGGGGGGATTCCCGAGTAACGAGTCTCGCGACCCGTTTTCGCAAGAGACTCTGAAAGATAATCGCACGCGGTTCCTCTCGCGCTCCGCGCTCGTTGAGCGCGTCTTCTTTAAATCCGCCTCGAGGGAGTCTCTCTGCTTTTCATTTCGCTTCTCTTAGACCTCGTACTCCCGCGGGTATTTCGTCACGGTTTACCGGGGTATCCACCCCCGAAGCAATTAAGGACCATCCCCTACGTCTAGCACAGTGCGCTGATCGAAGACGATCGATGAGACAAGACTCCGCGATTGAAGAGCAGAGTGTGATGGCCAGGCACAGGTGTCCTACTTTTACGACGATATGGGCCGTCGAAAGAAACCCTCGGAAGATTACATTCGACTACCATTGCACGAATACAAATTTTTGTATCGACCCTTCGTAAGAGTATGAAAAACGAGTTCGGACTGGACTCTTCGATTGCAAGAGAATTATTTTAAAGGGGACAAAGCTGAAAACTTTTCGATGGAAAAAAAGGATACGTCTTCAGCAACATGCTAGCGTGCTTCTGCTTCTTCTTTTTAAAGCTTCCTACCAGGACGACAGGAGTACCCTTCAGGATGGGTTTGGACTTCTGAAAATCATTCATCGTCGCGCGCCTTAAGAATTTGTCAGGTTGCAAATTAACCCCCACCGTGTTATATTTTACTTAACTTGAAAGAAACTTCAAACAACGAGCATACGATAATTGTTACGAAAGGAACGTTGTTCTAAGTTAAAACAAACTCAAGCATATGCTTTATCAGGTGGGTAACGGTAAACTAGGCCGTGAATCTTACCAATTCGTTGTCGGTAAGGCTGGACAAAGGTTTCGCATCAGATGGAAGACCATGCGCTGGTTTTCGACCCTCGACCCAGTTCAATGGAGTCCCGTCAGCAGAGTATTCTACATACTGTAATGTGATATACAAAATATATTAATTACAGAGAAAATGGAGTAGAATTAGGCGACAGAGCGATCTGTTTTATCAATGGGGTGTCTTTATCGGCAAGGTAGAGTTACCATGTCGAGAATATATCTCTGAACCGACTCTGTCGGTAAGACTCGATAATGTAGAAACCTAATTGATCGAAGCGAGTTAACAACGAATGTTCTACATTACCAGCCACTGAACAAAAGGTGTCACTGTATTAAGAAACGAATGTCAACTCACATCCTTGTTGACAAATGCATAAAACTCCGCTCGTTCCTTATCCTCCTGGCGAGTGCCGTTGCTTTCCTCCTCACTATTTACTTCTTTTTTAATTTTTTTGTTGATATCGAACTCCTCGCTATCCCCGTCGCGTTTTCGCTGTACATTCAGCATCCTAGACGTCGAAGGCTTTACGTCCTGTTCCTCATTCTCTGGTTGCTTTAATTTCCTGTCGACTTTCGTTTTCGTTCTGGGGGAAATCTCAAGCTTAATCGGTTTAATTTCGTCCATTTCCTCTTTGACTCTAGAAAAAATAGAATTTTCCGTCTCCATCTTTGGTACCATAGACAAGTGGTTTTGAAAGCTAAATTAGATTTGTTAACGGCGAAACAAACAGGGGAAGTACATACTTGGAGCTCGAAGGCAAGAGAAGACTAAGATCTATCGACTCTGAGCTTTTCTTGAACAGATCCCTTAGCTCCTTTAGACTGGTGGCGGTAGACCAATCCTTGTCATCGCGGATACGAGTCACCCTTGGAAACCTGATGCTGATACTGTCCGCGGTGTGGACACCATGATTCGTGAACTCTGCTCCCGTTATTTCCCACACAGGCTGCTTCTGAAGTCCAGAAAAAGAAGCGCCAGGTACCCCAGAAACGAATCAACCGTTGCAATGCAACAACGCTGCTATCGGTTACCTTAGGATCCTTAGCGACGAAGTCAGGAATCATTGGCTTGTTCACGCGCAACCACGAGGGCACCTTGTTTGGATCTTTACTTATTTTGACCATATCGAGCTCGTCCTGGAGCACCGTCAGAGTCGCATCGTCATGTCCTGTGTGAACCTGAATGAAAGAATCAGCTCAATGACCGCCCTCGTTTACTTTACCGTTGCAAAATTTCGTGAGTCCTTACTTTGGTTACTGTCACCCAGACTTGGCGATCCTCGTCGTAGCAACCCATCAGGAATACAGACATCAGTCCACCTGAAAACGTAATTTTGGTTCCAGTGGAATTCGGAGTAAGGAAAACGTGGATACTCGTGGTTGACCGTTGAGAAATAGTTGTAACAATAAATGACGAAAAAAGGAAGGAATGCACTTCTAGGACCGGGTTCGCAAGCTTCCATTTGCACGAACCTTTGTTCCCAGTGCCGTACCACGCGCCGAGCACGACGAGATCTGCAGTATCAGCCATAGCACCGCCAAACAGGTAGTCCTTCTTCACCTTCAGCCAGTGTCTCTTGCCTGGCTCATATTTGCCCTGAAAACATTCGCGCGTTTGCAAGCTTGTGTTAATTAACTCGATGCTTTGACAACCACCAATGTTTGATTTAAAAAACCAGTAGTCATTATTTTTAT